CAGTTCTTTAGTTTGATGTTATCAATTTCACCATCATCATTTTCAATTTTATTCCAAGTTGAATATTTCTTTTCCTTTTTGACTGATAATAAACATGAATATCAAGAATTTATCTTTTTGACTGATAATAAACATGAATATCAAGAATTTATCTTTTTGACTGATAATAAACATGAATATCAAGAATTTATCTTACTCAGATTATCGCAATAATCTAGATCTTCATTTTTTTTTTTTTACATTAACTGATTTTTTCAACTAATATAACTAATTGCTGAAATAGCATGCAATCGCATGGTATTCCTGACTACGCATATGTTTTTTTGTGGCTTCTAGACCACAGTTTTTTAGATGACCAGAATATTTCAAAAAAGTGAAGAAAAAAGCCTAATTTGATGGACAAGATGCAGTTACAGTTAAAAACATTACTAAAAGAAGAATAGAAATTTTAACTAAAGAAAAATAAACTTAAATAAATAAAACTAAAACATAATAAAGCTCAAAATATTATAATTGAGTGCATATTTTAATAAATTACATTAACCTTTGAAATTCTTAAGCTTGGATCTTCAATCTTTAGTAATGTTTTTATAAAATTAATCAATACTCTTTTATACAAAATAACAAATTAATTTTAATGATCATTTAACAAGGAAATAAATGTTAATTTATTTATCAAAGAGATTTATATAATTTATTTTGTTTACTTATGTTTTATTTCAAGATTCAATAAAAGTTTTCAAAGCAATACTTTGCCACTTTAAAAGGGTTTTGTTAATATTAAAACATAGTTAAAAAAGATTCAAGTTTCCAAAGTTAATTCTTTTAGCGCAAATTTGAAAATTGTTTTTATTCTAACATTTTTGTTAAGAATTTTTATTTACAAGATTTATTATACATATATATAGTCTTCAACCCTCGGAATTAGGGTCGGCATTCGGCAATGCCGACCTTGTTTTTATGTTTTGCGGTCAGACCTTAGTATCATTTTTCCTAATTCCGAGGGTTGAGTCTTGAACTATATGTTGTTTTTACTTGTATATTAATTCACTTTCTAATGTTTAAAATTACATCTTTTAAGTGCTTTTATACAAGAGTTGCTTCATGCATAGTTCATATCCTAAAGGAAATATTATTTAAAATGCATTTAATAATGTCTAGAGGAAAAGTATTTTTACTTAAGCAACTATTGTTTTTAAAAGTGACAAGCTCACTAAACTAATGTTAATTTTAAATCACTCGACATAATGTGAAAAATACAAAAATAACAAATCTGTTTACAAATTAAGAAGTTCTTCAATAATAACTGATAAACAGTGCTACATTTTTGAGAAAGTTAGGTGTAGGGATTGCAAAATTACCAACCTTTTTAATTACCGGTAATTTAGATAAAAAAAATCGATTATAGGTTAACCAGTAATTTACCAGTAGTCTTCACATTTTTAAAAATTTTCTGAAATATGATATTAATATAGAATTCAAAAATTTTGTAATATCAATTCATCATTATCTTTGTTGCACAATAAAGTGTTATGCTGAGTTAGTTTGTTTAACATAAATTTTTATGTTATATTAGCTGTGTAAAGATTAACATAAATATCTTTGCAACACAATGCTTCTACATTAACTTTTAAAAGCTGCAAGTCTGATATTTTGTTTGATAAGTCAATTTCGTTTTCGTTAAATATGATTGTAGACTATATCATTTAGACTTTTTCATATAGGATTTCTAACTTTATAATAAAAAACCCAACGTTGTTAGTAGGCTAATCCAACAGGTTCAAGTGTTGAAAATTAATGAAGTCCCTTACTCAATTCTCCTTTGATAATTTTCTGCAGTATTTTATTTTTTGTTTGTGATAGACGAAATATTTTAACAATTTTGTGAATCTTTTCTATAAGTAGACCAACACTTCCATGTCTAATAATTGTTTCAGATAATAGCTCTTAACTAACAACATCTATCTTCTACCTCATCGTTGGAAAAATATATTTTTGATCTATATAAGTTGATTTTTCTTCTTCTCCTAAGTTTGCTAATGAACAACAATTATTTTTTTTATAAAGAACCTTGATAATTGCCAATTGATTTGTCAATTATCAAAAACCTTGATAATTGTTGATGAATGCAATACATTTATCCGCTTCTTTTGATTCATGACCTCTAGCAAGACAGAGGGTCTAAAATTTGTAAAATGCATGTACATTTATATAACTAGGTTTTTTACAGAAGTCAACTCATCTAATATGATGTTAAACCCTTCACCTTGATTAGCTTGTATTTTAAGTTCAGCTAAAATGCTTTGGGGTAATTTAGCTGCGTGTTCATTTACAATTTTTCAAATCGCATTTCGAGACTTAGCATAACCCTTAGCACTTAACAATATTCATAGTATTAGCATAACCCTTAGCATTTAACAATATTCTTAAACCATAAGATGTACAAAATTTAATAAATGGTACACCATCTTTGGCTGTTAATAGCATGACAACTGCACTACACAAATCATTTTCTGAAGTATTTTGATATATTTGATGAATTATTCAAATTCCTAGATGTGTTTATGTTCAATAGTGTAGATGTAGTTTTATTTTTTTCATTTGGTTTATCTCTTTTTAAAAATTTAATATTGTGCTGTGTTCAAAAAATTTAATATTGTGCTGTGTTCAAACATGTGCATGCATACCACTCATACTGCAGCCAAAAGTTTGAATTGTTTTTGAACATTTCTTGCATTGACCTGCACTTCCATTTTGTACCCATATAAAATAATGCCACAATGAAATTTTATTTCTGACTGAAAAGCATAAACACATCAATACAAAAAATGATAAGGTAAAAAAAAAGAAAACATAACTTTAGAAGTATTGATTGATGTCATATTGAATTAAATTAATTAAATATAAATGAATTAAGTTAATTTACAAAGTTTTTATCGTTTATTAATAAAAAGAGATTGTTATGTATAAATTTACTTATATAGACTTATACTGAATATTACACTTAATTAAGTAATTTACTTAATTTTGTTTGATATACCGGTTAACCGGTATTGCAATCCCTAGTTAAGAGCATTTGAAAAAATGAGTTGGTTGAGTCTTAGAGAACCAGTTTTTTTTTAAATAAAAAATGAAAAAAATATAGTTAAAACTTTTATCTTACAGATAGAAGTTACAGAAAGATTGTCCCATGAAAATTATGTTTTATCTGACATTTTTTATGTTGCAGAAATTTAATTTTCGTTATTTCATTGTTAAAATGTTTTACTGTTGTTATTCTTTATAAATTATAAACTGTACGTTTTTTATGTTATTTATGTTTCATTATTAAAATTTTACTACTATTTAAATAATTTTTATGTTTTTGTTTTTGTTATTAATTGTTAATTAAAACTGCTAATTTTTGTTATTAATAGTTAATTAAAACTGTATGTACTATAAAAAGTATGCATACAACAATGTAAGGCCTCAGGATGGAAAAAAAAAACATTAATGCTGATTTGTAAACATAATTTGTGTAGTGATTAAAGTAATAAACTCCCCTCAGAGTCGCGTCTATTATTACTGACGTTTCGATGAGGATCAGCACTAATAACTAGTTTATCCCGTCAGACAAACGTCATTGCCACTTATGCTTTACTTTCATCTATTTCATACTGCATACTATTTTCATCTATTTCATACTATGACTTTCATCTATTTCATACTGCAGTAAAAAAAGACTCACTACTAATAGCCAAAACCCAACCATCCTCAAATTTGTAAAGCACCAATCAGAGTCGCGTCTATTATTACTGGCGTTTCGATGAGGATCAGCACCAATAACTAGTTTACATAAATGTAAACATGTAGTGAAGGAAATTCTCTGAATAATAATAAAAGACAAAAATTGTGCATATGAAAATTAAAACAAAGCTGAGTAATGAATGTAAGATGATATAAAATAAAAATTCCTTGATAATAGTAATAATATGAAAATCAGCAGATAAATAATATATTAATATATATTGTAATAAGACTAACTAAATACTAAAATAAAACCAGATAAATTTTAGCTAAATAAGTGGTTAAAAAATATTTTAGGGAGATAAAATAATGATATAAGTTGTGATAAAAAAACGATGTACAAAACGGGAAAAAATATATAATTGCTAAATTCTTATAACATTAAAAAAATGCAGATAAAACCCTATAATTCTCAAAAAAGGGTTCTATTTGTATTATTTTTTTTTTAATATTAAGATCTGGTGGAGCCAGCATTTTAGGGATTTTTGATCTTCACAATTTTTTAAAATTCTTATTTGACAAAATAGGAACATATTCAAGTATATCATTATTGTCATCATCATCATCGCCATATATACATACACCAAAATTTTGTACTTTTAACTTACTACAATTAGTTTTTAAAACCCTGAGAGATTTGTACAATAATATCTAATGGGAATAATGCTTATAGGTTTGCAAGTTTAAATTTGTTCATGTAACTCTTTCAAACTCTTAACAAATTTCAAGTCTAATTTTATTTCCAACTTGAATTTTAGTTGTTTTATTTTATTTTTTATTTTTTTTATTACTATATATTTTTTATAATTATACATTATATAATATATAATTAAAAAAAATATGAATAATGTAAATAATGATAAATAATAAAAAATATATATTTTTTTAAATTATTCACCTCCCCATGGCGCGAGGGGGTCACTATAGTCGAGGAGGCTACTCACTTTTTTTTTTTTAATTTTTATTGTAAATTGTGGTACAACCCTCCGAAACACAAACCTTGGTAAGCAAGGCCGCTGCGCTGAGAAATTATGTTGAGCGCAGTATTTCCAGGGACATGGTGGGAGTTGAACTCTGAACCTCTCGCATATAAAGTGAGCGCTCTTACCACTACGCCACTACAGCAGATATTATATAATTTTTTTTTTTTTCTTTTTTAATTTTACAGAATCAATATTTAGAGTCTAGCAAAGCAAAACATTTTTGATTTTCAGGCACGAAAAGATGAGCAGATGTTAAAGAAAAGAAATGTTGGTGATTTATCTGAAATAAGTCCTTTGAAAGAAAATAACCAACAAGTATTTTTTAATGCATTAACCATTAATATATTGAATAGTTAAAAAAATCAATAGTTTTTTATGTTATTAAATAACCTTTTAAATGTATTTTATATGAATGTAGTTTTTAGTTTTATGTTTTGATTTTTGCTGAATTCTTCAAAAGTATATTTTATATGAGTGTTATTGTGTTTTTTATTTATGTTAAGTTCTTCATAAGTGTTTTTGTGTTTGTTTGTTTGTTTTTTTACATTTTTTGTTCTTTTTATGTAATAAATATTTTTTCTTTTTAAAGATTCCTACAGCGTTACTGCATTTGGATGAAATTGTTACAGTAATAATTTTATGAAATTTTATTTGCTATAATATATATATATGGGTGTGTGTGTAACATTATTTAAAAAAAATTTAAATCAACTACAGCGTATTAAGGTCACTTTAATTTTTTAAATGCCAAATTTAATCCAGGCACATTACAGAAGGAAAAAAATAGGAAAAAAAGTTGCTGTTATAAAAGTCCTATATACTGTCCAAAACTTAAAGTTGATGTGTGTGTATTGAAGTCTCCACAACTATTTAAGTATGACTAAACAGCAACATTTTATGTGCAGTTTTTTCCATAACATGTATTTACATAATGGTCATAATTATTTTGAATAATCTTGCTTATTATCTTTCATACTATAAGTTCTTCATAAGTTTTTTCATAAATTTTTTAAATTATTATTTAGATTTTGTTAAGTAAGATCACACCAACTGACATATCAAAGTTTGAAAATGATATATATCAAGCTGTGCAAAGTACTCGGTATTTTTTGTATTATTTCATTATTTATATTTGCATGCATGCCTGCATGTGTGTGCTGGAACTGCACATTATGCAAGAGTTTTGTATTGGCCTTATAGTTGAATTTCAATCAACTAAAATGATTTGAGACTAACTTTATAACCTTTTGTTTCATAAACAAAAATCTATTTTAAAACTAGTTTAAACACTCAATTATAAGAGTGACACAACTGATAATTGCATTTAGTTTATATTAAATAACTAGAAAATATAATACAAAATAATTTAATAAAATATACTTAAAATTTTGTATTGAATATAAAGATTTTGTCGAAACAAGCCTGTTATTATGACAAATGGTTTTTTTGTAATAAATTACTTTGTTGTGTTTTTATCAATTATCAATTTTTATAATATTTTTTTTGACAAATAAGCAAATGTAAAATTTTTTCTTTTTCATATTTAATTTTTTTTTTTTTTTTTAATGTATAAAATTGATGTTTACAATAATTAAGTTGATAAATACTCATTTAAAACGGAAATTAAAAAATTTTTTTTTTTTAACTAAACTTTATACAGATAAATAGTTTTATGTTGAGTTATAATAAAATAACTGTTACAGCTCTAACTGAAAAATGTAAATGTTGTACTTGATTTATAAATATTATTATTAAACACTCCTTGACTTCTCAACAACTTTTGGCACCAATAGTAAAAAAGAAGCTCCACAAAATCATGGATGTACTAAAATTGTATCATTTCAAACCTGTGGGGCATTAGATGAATACAAACAATTTATAAAACTTGTTGCTGATGCTATGAATAAAGGGAGCTTAGTTGTTTTCTGGAATTCCTTATGCCAATAATTTTTTTTTTAACAGAGATTGCATCCGATGTAGATAAATTATACAGATCAATTACTTTTTTATCTGGTTCCTGCTTATAAAGAAAATAAAAAAAAAAAACTTATTTTCTTTATAAGCTAAAACTTTTTTAACAGTCCAAACATAGCACCTTAAGTAGACAATCTTTTATAAATTGCATGTCTTTATATGGCATATTCTTGCAATGACCTGTTTTGTCAAGCTTTTCCTGGTTATTAACTCTGCATCATTTAAACAACTATTAATGGTCCTCTCTGGAGTTCTTAGGATCAAAAGAAAGATTTCTATTGTTAAAATTTTCAAAATGACTTCATAAAAAATTTTGCACCATACCTACTTAAAGACTAATTTTTTTTTTTTTAACATCTTCACTCCCAACAAGGCTGCAAGCAACTACTATTAAAGTTGGAAGTTACTGGAAGAGAAAAGATGAAGATTGTAGAGCAAAATAAGGATTGACAAACGACTTCAAAGATTACAAATTATAAATCAGGAATTTATGAATCAGGAAAGGAAGATGAAGAAAGCAAGTTCCAAAGGACTGATATTCAAGGAAAAAAAATAGAGGAATAAGAGTTTTTGAAGCACTTAAGAACAGTCACAGAAAAAAGGATGAGACTTAATTGAATGATGAGTAACACAAAAGTGAATTTTAGTAGATAGCACATGAGACTGTGATAAGGGATGAAGGTTGGCTGCAAGAGCAGGTCCAACTATGTTTACAATGCGTTTTTGCAACTCGTCTAAAAGAGAAAAGGCACCATTGGAAGATCCACTCCAGCATTTTATACTACGATTGGAAAGGAAGTATTCAGTCATCTTAAGATGCTACCTGATACACTGTAAGCAGAAAGCTTATGAAGAAGACCAGCATGCCAAATTTTATCAAAAGCTTTAGAAATGTCAAGAGCAATGGCCTTAACTTCTCCACCTTTATCTAATGCATGATAAAATCTATCAGTTATTACTGTTAGCAAATCAGCTGTAGAACAAGAAGATCAAAATCCATATTGACGATCAGAAAGTAAGTTTATAGATTTAAGATGAGAGATTAGGATTGTTTTGAGAGATGAGAGATTAAGATTGTTTTGTTGATTAAAGATTCAAAAACCTTGCTTATGATAGGAAGAAGACTAATAGGACAGTAGTTAGACGAATTAGATCGCTTGCCAGAATTTTTGAATATAGGGATAATAGATGCTGCTTTCCACCAGACTGGAAAATAAGACTCTGATAAGCACTTGTTAAATAGATTTGAAAGTATAGACAGCTCCGGAGAACACTTCTGCAAGACTAAAACAGTTATGTTGTCCTGAGCACAAGCTGTAGTCTAGGCAGGAAATCACTTTGTATACAGAAGATGAAGTAATACAAATGTCAAGCAATAGATCAACCTGTTTGACGGCTAAATCAGGTAGGATGCAACTAGTGAAATCAAGAGATGATAATGATGAAAAGTTCTTAGCAAACAATTCGGCTTTGTCTTTAGGTGGGGTCACAAAGCCTAAACCATACATAAGAGGTGGAATTACAGATATGCATTTATTGTAGATACTGTTAAAGGTTCTCCAAAAGTAACGAGGGCCTAATTTTTGTAATGAAATATGATTTTCCATGACCTGAGAATAGTCGGCTTTGGCGTTAGACAAAACCTTTTTACAATGGTTTCTAGCAGTAATAAACAGACATCTGATTACTGGATAATTTTTTTGTTGATTCTATCAGCAATATAGAAGTAACGATTTTGATTGGAATTTGCAGCAGCACAATGTGAGAAAAACCATAAAAAAAAGTGAGGCTTGACCTGAAATATCTAAAGGGAATAGAAGATTCCATGCTAGCCTGAATCCACAAAGTTATGTAAGAAGCACATTTGTCAGCAGGAAGAGGAAAGATTTCTGCCCAAGGGCCATCACGAAGAAAATCACGGAAAGAGTCCCAGTCAGCTTTAAGGTAGTTGTAAGAAGTACAATGATAGGATGATTCTGATGGTAAAGATGAATGAGATAATAGTTATAGAGAGGCCAAACCATGATCAGACGCACCTAAGGATGAGTGTGGTCAAACTGAGCAATGACTAGGATTAGAAACAAGACATAAGTCAAGTAGAGAAGGTAAATGATTTGGGTTGTCTGGAAAGCGAGTTGGAAAGTTGACTATTTGAGTTAGGGATTGAGAAAGGCAAAAGTTGTGGGCTTTCTTGCCTGCAGAGTCACTGACAATAGAGCCAAGCCATTCAGTGTTATGAGCATTAAAGTCACCAATAACAACAAAATTGGCTGATGGATTAAGAGAATAGCTTGGTCAATTTGATCCGAAATAACATCAAATGAGTACAGTCTTGAGATGAAGGAGAGCAATATAGAACAATGAGAAAGGTGATAGTGTGATGTTGAGCTAGACGAAAGCACATAAAAGAAAAGTCATGGCTTCAAACCTAGTTTCCCAACAAATGGGTGAATTCTTACGAATGTTAATGCCCAGGCAAAGCATGTGACTATTGGAGTCTTTACGAGTTAAAGGAAAATAACCATCAACACTAAGATCACAAGATGAGACAGCTGAACTCAAATTAGTCTTACAAAGAGTAAGTAGGTCTGGTGAACTTTGCAAGAGATAAGACTCAACAGATGAAAAGTTACTTCAAAGACAATGAATATTAGTGAGTGATATGTTTAGAGAACTTGCTGATGATGATGGTTTTTTTTGTTTTATAGTTTTTGGTACTTTATTTATTTTTAAATTTGTTAAAAAACTTGACTCAATATATAGTCAGTACTCAGTACACTATTTGATAGCCCAAGCAATTGTCTCATTACTATTAATAAACCCTATGCCGTAAAAAAGGGCTCCAAATGAGACCTCGACAATGCACACCAAAAGTATGAACAGGGACACAGTTAATACTTTGATATTTTTCAGTTGTTGATGGAATCAGCCTCTCTTAGAGCTACCACAGAGTTCGGGAAACCTGACTGCCAGCCAGCCTCAGAACCATAAAACTGAGTTTTAGAGCAGTACTTTCATTAGGAGATAATAGAATGAGTTGCCTAGTCATTAAAACAGAAAAACAAGCAAAACCCATGCAATAAGTCAAGAAGATCTAGCATTCAACATCTTATACTAGAAACAATGTATCAAAAATACGTTTGTGCCAGCCTTATAGATGAAGAAGGGGTGCGAGGCTGTCCAATAAATAGAATCTGTTTACCCCTTAAGTCTTTGCCTAGGAGGCCTTCTACAAGACAGTTGCTGGATGCATTTAACATCTGCTCAAGATGAGTATTTTTATCGAGACACCAACTCTAGCCTTGACTCAACCAAGAGCCCCAATGTAGGGGGTGTTCTAAGTCAGAGTTGGTATTTCCTAACCTTTGCCTAATAAAGAGTATATTATTTTCATTATAATTATTGCTTATATTATTTTTTTGCTTAAAAAAGCCTGTATTTTTTTTATTATAATTATTGATATAATAAAAGCTTTTCTCTGGTAAAAAAAACTTTTTCAAAAATTCACAGAAAGTTAACCAATAAGCTAAACCATGTAATTGTCGGCATCGATTGCAATCCCCATATTTTATCAAACATAATTATTATGACATTTGGTTGTTTATTAATTGATGTGTAAATAATTGTTTTTAAAACTTACTTATTTTACCGCTTTGCTGTTCTTGTTTGGAAAATTTTTGCAAGGAGGTTGGTTTATAGGTTGGTTTTACTTCCAGCTATTAAAAGCGTACTTAAGTATCAGACACTAAGATTATACTTTTTACAGATTAAAATATGGCCGAAAGTGATATTTGACATTTTTAATGACTGTTTATGAAAGTTAGTAAAATAGTACTCATTTCAGGCGTGTCACTTTATTCAGCTTAAGGTTTTCAAATGGTTCTTATTTAACTGTTAAATAAAAGCAGTTAAAGTAATATGGTAGTGGTGTAGTGGTAGGATGCTTGTTTGTCAAGCTTCATGTTTCAGAGTTAGAGTTGAGGGTAGTTATTGAGTAGAAGGTTATAACCACAATTAAAGTAGCCTTTTCGACTGTAGTGGCTTTTTCGGCCTTGGGAAGGTGAAATAACATTAAAGTTAAATGGACTGTATATAGATTATTAAAACTGTATCCTTTTCAAAATAAATTGAATTCATATTTTAGCATTATTATTATTATTATTATTATTTTTTTTTCTCTGCCATTTTTTTCAGATATTTATATTTCCTTATTTTTTGTGTGATACTTATGTTGATACATTGTTTATGTACTATACACTATTTATATACAGTATTTTTGCCCTCAGAATAAGGGGCAGCATTCAACAATGCCGACATGGTCCTATGTTTTATGGTAAAACCTTTGTGTTAAATTTATTTCTGACCTCTAATAGTTCAGCAGAAAATTGCCGACATCATTTTTCCTAATTCCAAGGTCTTGTATTTTTATTATGTAATATTGACTTTTTATATTATTTTTATAATGTTTATGCTTGTGTGTTATTTGTACATTTTTGTTGATTTTAATTAGGTAATTTTTAAAGTACTGAATGCAATCAACTTTAACAAAAGTTTTTAATAAGTAAATGGTTATAAAAGTAAAGGAAATTTTTTTATATATTAAGGTTGTAATAAGCATTTTTTTTTTAAAACAAAATACGTATAGTGTTGTATAAATAACATTCAATTAATCATATAAACATTTTATTTTTAAGTACTTTTTGAAAAACTAAAAGTTGACATAATAATTTTTTTTATTAGAGCAGCTGAAATCTAAATGGGGGCTAGGGTTAAACAAAGGCAAAATTTATCAGGAGCAACTACTACATATTATATTAGCCTACTAAATATATTGGTCTTTACTAGCTTTATACTTCATTCAGTTATTTAATCTTTTATTAAAGGTTTCACAGTAATAAAACAGAAAATCAAAAAAAAAGATGTTATTTTTTTCTTTTTAGGCGGCTTTTATCTAGAGAAAATAATCCTCCTATTGATCGGGTTATAAAGTAAGTTTATTGTCATTTATTCATAACACATTACTGATCGTTTTTTCAATAAGGCTTAATGTTTTTTTTGATGACATGATAACAAGATTGCTGAGGTTGACTGAGATACTGATGATTTTTTATTTTGTATGGAGATCCTGAAGTACATTTTCAAATTTCTGTTAACTTTAACTAGAAAAAATAAAAATAAATATATTTTAAATGAGCATTAACCAAGCTGAATTCATTTAAATGTTGTTATAAAATGCTAGAATTTGTATTGCTTTAAATTTTAGAGCTGGTTTGGTTCCACCCCTGGTACAATTGCTCAAATATGAACAAAAGTATGTAAGCAGTTTTTTTTAGGGGGATAATGCTTATTTTTTATCTTATTATACTTGATTATCTGTGTACAAATGTTTAGTTTTTGTATGAATTTAGTTCTAATATTCAGTTTGAAGCTGCTTGGGCAGTCACTAACATTGCTTCAGGAAATTCTGATCAAACACAAACAGTTGTAGAAGCAGGTAAAGTTTATTTTTTTTTTTAATTAGTTTTAAAGTTTTGAGTTTTTTAAAAATTGTTTTTTTGAAGGTGCTGTTGATTTTTTTATTGCGCTTTTACACTCCTCTCATGTAAATGTTTGTGAGCAAGCTGTTTGGGCTCTTGGAAATATTGCTGGTAAAGTTATTTAAATTTATTTTAAGTTATTGTTTGTGTTGGTGAACTTATGTAAAGTATTGCATGCATTTAAAACTAAAAAATTTTAGGTGATGGGCCGCAGTTTCGTGACTTTGTTATTTCAAGAGGAGTAGTGAAACCTCTTTTAGCACTTGTTAATTTAAACACTCCAGTAAGTATATTGTGTTAGTTTATTTAGAGTAAACTATATTTATAAGGTTTTGTGTGGAGTTATTAAAAATTCATATATATTTTAGATTTAGTATATTTTAATGCACTATGTTAATGTTTATATATATATATATATATATATATATATATATATATATATATATATATATATATATATATATATATATATATGCATTCATGTTTTTGATAGCACTCATTTATATATATATATATATATATATATATATATATATATATATATATATATATATATATATATATATATATATATATATATAATGCATTCATGTTTTTGATAGCACTCATTTTTGAGAAATGTTACATGGACACTATCTAACTTATGTAGAAACAAAAATCCGCCCCCTAAACTTGAAGAAATTCAAAATGTACTTCCTGTTCTTGCGCAACTAATTTCTCATGTTGATAAAGATGTTGTTGCTGATGCATGTTGGGCTCTTTCTTACTTAACAGATGGGCCAAATGAAAAAATTGATATCATTATTCAAACTGGTGTTGTCCCACATTTAGTGGAGCTTTTGCAGGATTCAAATGTCAATATTGTTGTAAGTATTTTTATATTGATAGTACATGGTTTTTATTATATATTTTAATTAATAAAGAAATTCCTAACTAATTTACAAGTTTCTTTTAATATTTAATCTTAAAATTGATTAAGAAATTTCAGTTAACAAAACTACTGTTATATGGTGCAATCAATATACAAATAATAACAGTTTAAATCAACTAAAAAAAAGTTAAGTTTATTTGAACTTATCAGAAATCATGTTTTAATTACTTTAAAATTAAAAAAATCAAATTCATCAGGATTTAAAGAAATTTGTTTGAGTTTAACCAAATTGTTGTCGTAACTTTTTTAGCAGTTTTTTTTTTTTTAACAATATTTTGTTTTAGACACCTGCTTTACGAGCTATAGGTAACATTGTTACTGGAGATGATTTTCAGACACAAACAGTTGTTGAATGTGGCGCATTAAACTATCTTCGGAAATTGTTTTTAAATCCAAAATCACAAATTGTTAAAGAAGCTGCTTGGGCTGTTTCAAATATAGCAGCTGGAAACCAATCTCAAATACAGGTTTTAAAAATTTAAATATAAAAAGTAATTCGTTTTGTTTATATTGTTCAAAATATTTTTCACAAAATAATAAAGCCTTTTAAAGAATAATTAAAATGCCTATTGAAACCTATCACTTTAAAAAAAAAAAATTTATGGGATGTTTTATATTTCCTTTTGAAAAACTAAAATATAATACTCTTTTAATATTCCACAATGCAAAAATAAAAACAAAAAAAATTAAAATTTTTTTTGTTTTTATTTTGTCATTGTGGAATTTTTATTTTCAAACCATTTTAATTAAAATGGTTTGAATTATGGTTTCAATTTGAATAATGGTTTTACTTAGTTAAAAGTATAACATATAATCCACATATATTTGTCATAAGTTTTGTCTAAATTATTTACTGTGATTTTGTATTATTGTACTTGTTTATAATAAATCTACTTTTCTTTGGTTAAAATTCTAATAATATATTTTTTAAATTTATTTTTAGTTTTGATGACCAAAAAAACTATTTTTGTGCGCAAAAATTTGATAGTATGAAACTAAAAATATACTTTTGTAATAGACTAAAACTGGTCAAGTGGAATTTTAATCAAACCATTTGAAATTTGCAAATACTGCATGTTTTTACGATTTTTGACTACTAGAAAAAATTAAGTTTTGACCTTGTATGGTCATAACTTAACCTGATGATGAGGAGTCACATTTCTGATATTCTTAAATATGATTCACTAAATAACAGAGCTTGAGTATACTTTTTGAGTTATTTGGAAAATGTTTAAAGTTTTTTAGCAATTTTTTTTTCAATTTTGTAACTTTTATTTTTCAATTTTCAAAAACAACTATGCATTAACTATGAGTTTTCAAAAACAATAGCATTAACTATTATTAATAAAAAAAATCACTAAAAAAGTTTTGAATTGCATAAATACTCAAACACTGCCCACAATGCTAGTAGCAAAATTAAAGAAAAACTTTAATTTTCCTACTAGCAATGTGGGCAGTGTTAGAGTATTTATGCAATTCAAAACTTTTTTTAACTAAAACCTGAGTTTTCAGTGTTATTATTAGAGGAGAAATTTACATTCTAAACAAATGTGAGATTAATTACTTATAAATAATGGCAGGTAAAAGGTATAAGTGTGGGTGAATGAAAACACAGCAGAAACTATTTATATTGTGCAATAAAAATTTATTTTCTAATTTTATTTTCTCCTGTTTTTATAAAAATTTTAATTACAATAAATTTAATTAAATATGAAATTAATTTTTTGTGAGATTTTAATAAGGATTCTGCAAAAATCCGAATCTGCACAAAAAAAAAGAGAGAAACTTTTTGTGTGGAGAGAGGATAAAAAAAAAGAAAGCTTCTCGGAGCACCTTTTTAACCAAAAAAATCTCTGTGGATTGCAATTTAGTGACTGAATTATTCAGCCTCTTTTGTATTCCAAAGATGAAGACGAACAAAAATCAGTATAAATGTGCTAGAGATTAAAAGGGAGAAATGATAATACTTAAGAGAATAAGAAATAATTCAGCAAGAAGTTGCTAAACTACAAGTTTTAATTAAAAATTTAATTTTTATTGTTATTTGTTTATTATAAAATGATAAATTATTAAAAATGTATTAGTAGTTGTTTTGACTTAATTCCTATTTACAACTAATTATATTTTGCCATGCGTCTTTTTAAGAGTTTAAAACAACCAAAGATGCCTGATTTTTTTAATTTAAAACCCTAATAAAACTTTTTTTAAGTGCTATTTTTATAATTTTCTTTTACTATTTTGTTACTAAATCAACTTCAAAATTATTCCTTCTTGGTCCTAAGTGGTCCTATTATAAAAAAACTCAACAAAGCACCAAAAGTCTTTAATAAACCTTGATATTGTCATAGATACCTAATTTGAATTATCTTAATTATTCGAAAGTGTAACCTAGTTAACACCATGCCAAACTTTTTTTTTACAATCTATATTGAATAAAATCAAATATTGCTTCTTCCTTCTGTTTTGTAGTTGTTGAATAAAAATATCATTCGGCATCAGTTTTCAAAAAAGATGCAAAAAAACTTGATTTTGCGTGTGCAAAAACAATGTATGTCCTTTACTTGACACATTTTAACACATTCATATTTGTATTTGTCTCTATTTGTAAATAATATCAGATAGTTATTTGTGATGATTTTGTAATTATTTTTTTTCACATTTATAATAGTATTAACAACAGTTTTTAATTATTTGTATAGGCAATCATTGACAGTGATTTATTAGGTCCGGTAATCAATGCTCTCGAAAAAGGAGATTTTAAAGTTCAAAAAGAGACTGTTTGGGTAATAACCAATTACACATCTGGGGGAAGCGTGGAACAAATTGTGCAATTAATTAATGCTGGTGTAATTGCACCCTTATGTCGAATGTTAACAACTCAAGACTCAAAAACAACAATGGTTGCTCTTGACGCTGTAAATAATATTTTACTTGTAAGTTTTGAAGATTTTTTTTTTAAGTTAACTTGAATGACATTGCTTGAAGCAATAAGCAGCATGCGGTTTTCTTCTGTAGTCTTCGTATCTCTAAAACTATTTTATGGTATATTTTATTTAATAAACTTAATGATTGCAAAAGATATTTTTTTAATACATCTCTGCTCGATGGTAGTTCACCTTTCAAGTTATCCAAGAAAAAATAAACAATAGGCTGGGTGAATAAAAATGAGCAATTGCTTTTACTCAGTATTTGGTCAGCTTTACGTGAGTAAAAACTTTAGCAGTTTTGCTCAAATTTTTGTTTACGTAAAGTTAAGCAATTTACTCAGTAATTAATCAGCTTTACGTGAATAAAAACTTCAGCAAAATTGCTAATCTAATGGTGTATATATACATAAACACCACCATTTTTATAAAATTTCCGTAATAAGGTTTTGTCCGTTATTATTTCTACGGTATCTTATTATTTTTTAAGAATGCACAACGCATGAATGCAATCGGCCGGATTGCTGAAATGATAGAAGAATGTGGTGGTGTTGATATTCTTGAAAGGTTACAGACTCACGAAAACGACTCTATTCAAAAAACAGCAAGCGACCTTATTGAACAGTACTTTTCCGAGCAAGATGATGATGTTGAAGAAAAATTAGTTCCTTTAGCTTCTGATACTGCCTACCAATTTGGTCCAGCCTCATCAACGAGTCAATCTCACTTTACTTTTTAATTTGATGTTAGTGATGGAATTACAACACGCACAAGTATCTTTTCGTGAGCCTTGTAGTTGAATGAAGAATTATGTACAAATATTTATTTAAATAAAAATTTAGCTTATTTATTGTAGGTTTTTTTTGACTGTAATAGCGTTCTGTTTTCTGACCATGATTAATTTTTATTAGTTATGGTTAGAAAGGTTTTCTCAGTTATTAAGAAAACAGTCAATAATTTCATAGAGGGCGGGCCATTTTGAACTTTTTAAGATTTAAGGAATTCTAGGGTCCGTGCTTGGTTCTTCATAAAAAAAGTCGTTAAGTTGGATGGGCGCAGAGAACAGTCAAAACCGTTTGTTTGTTTTTTCCCCAAAATGCGTCCGTAAAGCAAAAGACATAATGAAACTATATTGGTCTGTATCCTATATATGTATAAGGCATCCTTTTGGAACCAAAAGAATCTTATGCCGTTATTATTAAAATTTAAAGATTTGATATCATGACACGACAACGTTTTCCATTAAGTTACGGTTGCTCCAGTGTCGTTCATCAAAGACTACTAATTTTTTTGCCACGAATTCCGGTTCAAAAGCTACGCATTAGTTTGGACCGGTTATTTCTTTACAGCCCTATTCAAAGAAATGTTTCTTCAGCCAATCATCGTCGGATATAGCCATGTTAACTACAAAATATGCATAATCCAAAAGAAGTGGTTTGTATTGTTAGTTGGTAAAATGTTGTATTAGATTTTGTACGGGAATAACTTTAAATCAGCATGAAACCTTTGCAACACTCGAGAAATGTCCGACTATAAAGAACGGCAACAACTTCTTATATTGTTGGTTTTCTGCCCTAAACAGCCATAATGTTCTCGCTGGACTACCTTGGACGATGTTTTTCTTGATGACTGATTTATATCAGAAAAGATTTCTAATTTTTTACTTCCAACCTGGTAAACTATTATCGGAATAAAAATTTATTTTTTAGTTTAAACTCAAATGTGAAACTCAGCAAACTTGCTATTGCGGGTTTTCAGTGGACCTATATGTACATTTTGATTGGACTGTTCCAATTTTGCTCATCGGTTATTTAGTGGACTAGCCACTATTAAAATGTCGGAAAATTATCGGCTTGCCATTTGAAGCGGCTGCCACAAATGGTCCACTAAAACCGATGAGCAAAACTCCAGTGAAGCGCTCATTAAAATCCTTATATAGGTCCACTGTAAATCTACCAAAACAATGTTTGCTGAGGAAGCAACGGTGATTTTTTGTCTTTTTAGTCAACTTTATTTCATATTCAGTAACTAATTGCTTTGCAACATATTTATTTATTCATAACTTAATTTATTCAGTACCTGTTAAACTTCTGCAAGATATATTATTAATAGAAATTTTTTAATATAGATATATATATTATATATATTGCACAAAACTTATACAGGATTTTCTTAATAATAATAAATGCAATTAACTTTAAATTTCTTGGTGTGCTCAAAAATTATTTTAGGGACTGTAACAGAACTGCATTTATCTCATGACTCCTTATCTCATATTTTATGTTTTGAATTGTTTTAAATTTAAAATAAATTATTTTTTGCTTTAATTTGCTTTTATCCACCATTTTTATTGGAAACAAAAATCTTATAAAATAACTCTGCTTCAATCTCTTTGCATATATCTATCCTATATAGCAGCCGTGGCGCACTTGACTCAGAAACAAAGGATCTGTGGTTCAAACCCCACCTCTGCGCAAGTTTTGTGACATCGGTCTTATTAAATACTCATCCGCGGTGCTCTATGATAAGACCGTTAGGACTTCTTGGGGCACCTAAATGAAATTTAAAAAAAAAATAGATTTTTCTGGTTCCCTGAAATCTTTTAGGCCTAGAAAGGTAAATAAAAATAACTATATTTCTTTTAGATATAAGAAGTTAAAATATAAATGTGCAGAATAAATTAGACGGACGCAAGTCCTCTCTTTGCATGTGGTACGTCCATCCGCACCATATGCAGAGACTTGTCTTGAGGATTCCATACAAGGTGTTTTGGACGTCCACGTGCTCACTAGGAAGCAGCTGTTCATACCAAAAAAGTTCCGTGTCAAGAATAAGAAGTACCTTAAAAATTCCGAAAAGAAATCTACGTCTTTAGACGTCTATTGTATAAAAACAATTGATCAACTAAAGCCACATAGTTTCTAAGATTCAAAGCTATTATTCGAATTATAACATAAATATAAAATAGATGATGACCAGTTTGTACTAGATTACTCAGGTTAACTAATAATTTTTAAGTTATTTTAATTTTATATCTCTGCTTTCAAATAACATAATAATTATTAATTTAGGCGTTGACTAGTGTTGATTGATCGACGCCAAGTTTATTTTTGTGACTTGATTTCTGAACTTAACTGAATTGACCAAAATCATTCTATCAGCTAGGCAGTTATAAAACTTATTGCTTGACTATTTTACTATGCTACTTGAGAAGTTGAAGTGAGCGTTTACGATAAATTTTAAAACGTTACTTTAATTGATAAAATAACGTAACTTTTTGAATAACAAGGTCTAACTTAATTTTTATTGATGACAGGAGGAACTTTACTAAGATATTGCATTTGTTGTTGCTATGAAAACAATTTTGCATACAAAAATCTTTTTCGTATTAAGAATTTTTTTTTTTTTTGTGGTAACGCACTTGCCTCAGAAACTAAGGATCGGTGGTTCAAACCCCACCTTTGTGATATCGGTTAAAAAAGAGGCGTGAACTTCAAATTAAATGCTCATACGCGGTGCTACGTGATTAACTTCTTGGGGCACCTAAAATTAAAAATATTGCTAAAGTGGACTTTTTATCACATTTTCAAAAATAAACTCTGCTTTGTACATACATAAAACGAAAGAGGATAAAATTTTGAAAAATTTAAAACGCATTTTAGTTCAAAATTAGAATTTTAGTTGTCAAAATTAGTATTTATTTTTATTTTTGGTCTTTAAATATTTACCTTAAATATTTTATAATTATGTAATTAACATTGACTGTAAAAATACCTTATCATGTTAGCTCAATCTATCATTTGATTGCTTCCTACGGAAAAACTTTTTTTTTGATTTTTCTAATTTTAACTTTTCAATATTTTTTTACGGAATTAATTTAGTAGTTCTTAATTAAAAAAAGGTTTTTTAAAACTTTTACAATTTTTTTAAGAGGGAGAATTTCAGGGTTTAAAAAAAACAAAACATGGTTTTAATAAATTATTGAATTGCTTATGATAAAAATCAAACCTCTGCATAATACTTATATATTTAATTTAATGGTAAATTAAAAACCGAGAAAAGCCAAAAATGGTTTTGTATAATAATTTTTTCTTGTTTAATTCAGAATGCAAAGATTAATTCATATTACATACTACAGAGGTAGCTAGTTTTTTATTTGATACAAGTTTTATGGAGCAAATTGACTTTTTATACGTAAAAAAAAATATTCTGGCTAGCTCTGTAGTAAGATATTTCAATTCATTTTTACGAATATAAGCTGTATATAAGGTAACGGAGTGTATTAGGCGCTAATAAATCTAGCACCTAACAAACTTTATGTCTTCTAAAACACAATATGCATTATTTGCCAAATTTTTTTGATTACTATCTAGGATAATTTACATGTAATTTGATTATTATGTAAAATAATTTAAATGTAAAAATTGCTATGTAAAATAATCTACATGTAAGTATATTTAAGCATTTTATTTAATGAAACGTGGATATTTTATAAGTTATTTATATTTTTCTAACATAGCCTCAATTATTAGCCTCACTGTAGGACAATAAAACCCAGTTAAATAATACTAAAGATTATCAAGAAAAACCAGTTACTTTATAGAGAATTTTTAATTTAAGTTTTATTTAACCCATGGTATAATTAGAAAGCTCATAAATAGCAACAAAATGAAATAAAATAAGACATATAAATAAATTATTTCACACTAAAAAAAAATCTTTTAACTTGATAAAAATTCTGTACAATTTGGACATACTAATTCTTTTTCATCTTCAAAATCTTATCCAATTCATTGGTTATGATACCAAGCACTGCACTTACAACACTGTCTCATACTCTCCACCAACTTTTCCTGGCATAAAGAACAAAACTAATCATTCAAATCCATTGAAGTTACAGGCCTAATTTTGTTAATTTTTTTTCTTCCCTTGGCTTTGCAAAAACTTCTTTTGTCAATAGTTTAGAAAGAAATTGAAGCTTTTTTTGCAGCTAACTATAGAAATCCTTTTTTTTTTTTGCTGGACTTTTCATTAGTTCAGTGAAACTTTTGTTAAGCAGTGATAAATTTGACTGTGTCTGCAGTCGTAAATAATTTAGGATGGTGCGGTTATCTGACAGCAGCAGTAAATGGTCCAGAATGGTACGGTTGTCTGACAGCAGCCGTAGATGGTCCAGATTGGTTGTCTAAGCTTACATCTAATAATGACCCATGTTGATCATATATATATAGATGGATTTAATATAATATCCACATCCTTCCGACTAAATGAAAAAACATCAGTTGCCGATATAGTGATGGGCAAAAATGCTAAATTTGAAATTGCTTTCTTGTTGAAATGCTAAATTTCAGTAGTTTCAAATGCTTTAAAAACAGATTTTTCGATAGTTTGAAGATCATGTGTTGTATTGTTTGGTAAGCAAAAAAGCTGAATACCATAGCTTTCTGCTTTTTCAACAATATGTACAACAATATGTGAACAATATGTTCATTAATAAGTGAAGCAGCTCCATAAACAATTAGAAGAACATAACCATTACACTTATATTTGTTGAATTTCTCTAACCAGAGCAAGAACTCAATGGTCTTTGATCTCTTCTAAGTCATCATTCCCGAAGAACCAGATGGCAAATTATCTTTGTATTCTTCTTTTATTCGTATTTCTCTAAAAAGAACCATTGGGGGTATTGGAGTACGCAGAGCATTTACACATCCAACAATTGCTACATTTTCAACACATTCTTGGGCATTGAGATGGACTTGCTTAGCTCTTTGTGGTGCTAATACAGCAATCCATGTTGTAAATGCGTCCAGGCTTATTAAAAAAGCCATACTGCTTCAGGCTCA